GTATGAGGGGTTGGCAGAGTCTGAAAAGTTATGGGACTGGAGTGTTGGGAGAGCACTCCGGAAAGGCAGTGGGAAAGGCTCAGGCTTCCTGCAGCCTCAAGGAAACAGCTTTGATTGAATTAGCTGTACTAAGCTGTACTAAGAATGATTGGGTTGGAGGCTGGTGCCACTTAGCCTTTGCAAATGCTTTGCAATAGCATGGCATTGGACTGTCTCCTGTGTTTTCCCATGGGGGTTGAGAGTGAATTGGGATACAAAAGCAGTAGGGGTTTCTCAGCCATGGATGTTGTTTTGGGACATAAGTAGTACATTCTGACAAATGAGCTGCTCTGTTTGAGAGGAAGGAAAGGAAGGGTGGTGCTTGACTGGAAAGAGGCCTAACAAAGTTAGGATCAGCTTTAACTTCTGTTTTAACTTAGGAATGTGCTGAAGATGGGCCTAGTAAAATGCAGACAAATGTTCCAGGAGCTTTGCCCTGAGAAACCTGGATGGAGCTGAAATCGGATGAACAGTGTTATTGAAGGGAAGGACTTGTGTAAGTAAAGCTGTAACCAAGGGGAGAAAAAATTCTCCTTTACAACAGTCAGCCCCATCTGCATGTAGAGCTAATAATATCTTGAAAATACACAACAGGGGGGAAAAAGTCTCTGTCAACAGTCAGACTGATAAAGCTCAAGTGGATATAAAACTTATGTATTTATTTCATTAGGGTGTTTTCTTCCTACAGTTGCCTAGTTCTAGACTAAAAAAAAGAAAGATTAAAATTATTGTGTGTCTTCTGGAAGATACAGAGCTATAGAGTTATAATCATTGCAAAAGAATTTAAAGAAGAGTTTAATATTTTCTAAAACCTTTTCACCTTTTAATATATACTTTTGTGAAACATGCCTTAAGTGCTCCAGTGCCTAGATTTTTCAACAATAAAAGTGTGGTTTAACCCAAGCATTGGAGAAATGTACCAAAAATAGCCTGAAAGAACATGTGTTTTTCTCCATTGTCTTCGGGCAACCTTAAGTCTGTTCTTTGGCAAATTCTGTAATTGATCCTTCTGTTCCCCATCTCAAGACAGGTGAGGGAGAGGTAAAGTCAGGCTGATGAGTAACTGCAGTACAGTCAGGAAACTGTTTCAGAGGCTCCAAGTGTTGTTACAGAGTCTGTTCTTTATGAACTCTGCATGAGGAACATACTAAAATTTGAAGGTTGTTGATTCCCTCAGTTATTGCACACTGACTATCTCCCTGAAGAGATTTAAAAAAAAAAAAAGCTGAAGTGTAGAGGTACCTGGCAGCCTGTCTTACTCTACCAAGTTTCAGAAACTTAGAAATTGTATCAATGGTAGGCTTGGACTACAGTTCTAACTTTTAGGCAGAGATTTTACCCAGAGACAGCAAGAAGGTTTGTACCACAGCTGGAAGCAGAAACAGAAAACAGATTCCTGATTGTTAAATCAGTGGTTCACTTAAAAGGTCTCTCTTCTCAGAGTATGGTCCTGGTTCCTGGGGTGATGCTCCATCTGGTGGTGAATGAATAAAGAACATTACCACAATGCAGTTTAAATCAGGTTCTTCTTGAGGCTTTTAATGTTAAGCCAAAAAAAATTTATGCAAATATGGATCGAATTTGCCCTTTCTAGTATAGGTAGGAGTGCTTGTTTTCTGTGGTGCATTTCATGCTTATGTTTCACCACTAGATTGTATTGGGGAGCTCTGGTTCCATGGCTAAATGTCAAGGAATTAGTTTCCTTTGCAAGTGCTACAGACACAGTTAGGTTCACCTGAGAATGCTTCACTGTCACCATGAGCTGTGTCAGAAAAATATTTACAATGCAGAAATGAAGCAACTTTCAGAAAACAAATAAACAAATCCTGTGTATAATTAGAATTTTGACTATTTGCCATGAATTTTGCACCTGTTACTGTATAAGCCAGCAGCAGTCTATGCACTTTGTTGCTTCCTGTATTTTTAAATTTTTCTCTGGGCATGGTAGTAAGGTGAGGGCACATGTAGAAAGAGGTAGGGCCCTTGTGACAAGAATTCCCACTCTAACTAACAATTCCTGTTGCCTTGGAAAGGAAAACAATTGGGAAAATGTCCCAAAATGGAGGGAAATATATCTACCCTGGCCATGGTTATGAGTTTGTCATGGAAAGGTGTGTTAGCCTCAAAACCTAATGATCAGTAGACAGTATTTTATTTTTTTTTACAGGTTTTCTTTAAAACCTGAACTCCCTAGTATCTAGAAACTGGGAATATTACTCTAAATGTAGGAGGATCATTACAAAATAATTTGTATTACATTGAGGTTGTTATTATTACAGGCATTATACCTCTGGCTATACCCGGGAAAAGGAATTTTAGTATTTTGCATGTGGAGAAAAAAAAAGTATATGTATCTATATATAGATATATATAATATGTTAAAGGCAAAATAGATAAATGTATCTATCTTTGTTTCTCATCAGATTTTTTTCCTATAATTCCCTTCTCCCATTTTACAACCACAATGTTGAGATAAGAAGTATTGTTGGGAGACAGGTTAGATGACCCTGGGGTTTCTTAAGTTAAATTCCCTTAGACAAACTGAATGCCTGTTTCCTCAAGCATCCTAACCAGTGGTCATATGATAGGATCTCACAGAGCTAGTGGAACTCACCCACCATAATCCTATGCTTCAAAGTTGAGAAAGAAAAAGCACATATGCTTGAGAAGCACAGTCTGGACATCCACACAACCTGTAGAAATTAATCAGTTCTTACTTTCACAGCAGTTGCGAAAGGCAAAATACTGATACTGAAGGGGGATAGACTGTTCCCTCTGTGAGTTTCTGATCTGTAAGCTCAGTCACAGCAGGAAAGAAAAGTAATTTACAATGATGCTCTCAAGCATGTGCTAGATTCAGTGAGCTCAGAGACAACAGCCACTGAACCCACAGTGGCTATAGCACAGGAAGAAGTTCTTAATCTACACTACTGAATTATTCAAACCCTATATAATAGATATTTTCATTTACAGTCCTAATGACTGGAGCAGGGGCAAGAGCAGCCACAGCACTTATGTTGGACTTAGTGATCCCACCCACATGGTCTAGTCTGGCGTGTCTGGCTTCCTGAAGCCCAAACAACAATCCCACCAGCATCTGGAATAACCAGAATGCAGGTTTGGTCAGAACAGAAGTAGCTTGTTATAACTAGAAGAGTGAGCAGCAGAGTGACAGCCTGTGCCCAAACAGGGCCCTTGGGTTTAAATACCTGTAGTTCTATGACTTGCTCTTCACCAAACCATGTCAGATAGTGAGGGCCATAGAAGTTGCAGCAAGGAGTAGTGACATGAGGATTATTTCATAGAGGGCAGCTCTGGGCAGTCAGATGAGGAAGTTGTAGGTAGTACCTCTTTCTCTTACAAATAAATCACTCTTTTGTTAATTAAATTGTGCTGATGGAGTGAGTCTACTACATCATGGAGACATATATTCCCTAACTCCTGATGCCTTGCAATGGCTTGTGAAGTGTTAATTGCTTATTTCCACACCAGCCAGATCCTTCCTTAGAAGTGTGAGAAGCTGAGCAATGACCATTCCCGACTTCCATTTGGTCCCTCTTGTCTCATCTGATCCACTTCTGTCACCAGCAAGGTGAGGCATCTGCCACCTGTGTGACAAAACTACCACATGCTACAGCAGAATTTGACAGGTAACACAGAATTATCCTAATGACCCATTCTGATGAGGGAGTTCAGCCTGGGCCTCTGCTAAGTTCCTTCATTGCTGCTTCTCTACAAACATGTGGCCTACAAATATGTCTTTACGAGAATTAAGCCTTGTCAAGCAGGCAACCCAAATTTTTCAGGGCTTGGGTCTGTGCCATGGCTTCCAGGAAATCACCATGAGTTTTGTTCCATAAATTACCTGGGAGAGAATTAATTTTACTTTTCAAAAGCTGTTCTTACAACAGATTTCCTGGGTTTCATCAGTTTGTTTTCCTGCTCTTCTAGGCCCCAGGTTGAGCTCATTCCTCTTATTCCTTGAGTCCCTCTGCTTTTATGCCAGGGAAGAGTCCACTTTAAGCTGAGGCAGAAATGACATAGGGTGTCATTGAGCATGCTCAAAGGACTGAGTTTCCGTTCTCAGGACAAGCATACCTAAGGCTGACTTGACTTGATAAAGGACTCCTTAAAGGCTTCATTTCCCATTCAATGAAACCAGTAAAAACTTTTATTTTCATGGCAGTGGTTTGGGAACAAGGCTTAGTCCATGGTTACAGAAAGTAACTTAAAAAAGCAAGATCTATTGTTCAAAACAGTATTTCTTCATTCAGTATTTGTTCAATCTAGTGAACAGAAGGGCCAGCTGCAGCTTACCTATGAGATACCTGGGCATGTGTGGCACTAGCAGAAACTGTACTTGTCATGAGACCCATTCAGACCACTCCAAAATCCTATGGATTTATGAGCAAATGTGACAGCTTTTGGTGCCAGTAACCTAGACAGCATTATCAGACACCCCACATCTGTTTCTAAGAGAAACAAGATTTTACTCTATTATTACTGGGAAAAATTCTTCTAGCACAGCTGAAGTTCCCAAAGATTCCTCTTCATTACACTTTCATACAGGAAAAGTTAAAGACAGGTACTCCAGGATTAAGCTCAATAGTGTCTTACTGCCAAAGAGGGAAATACTGCTGTACCATTTATATGAGCTGGGGACAGGAATATTAGTTGTCCACAAAGTGGAAGAACTTACAGTGCAAGTACCAGCAGGAAAACCATCAGCATATTCACAGTTGCCTGATCACTCTTCAAATGAGGTAAAGAAGGAAGAATCTGCATTCAGTTTGTGTACAACACCCCAAAGCACCATACAAGTATGACACACTGCTGCCATTTTTCATCTTGTAATTTTTTTCCACTTTAAATGCACTTTCAAGTAAATATTTCTACATGGAATACCGATTTCTTGTTGCAGCCAAGCATTTCAATTAAATAAACCAACATGCAGACTAGTAATTTTCATTGATTTTAATTTTAAATACTGTTCAATAGTAATATAAAAGTTACTAGTTTGTCTATTTAGACTAATCGTTGTTTGGGTTTCCCCCCCCCACCAAAATCTTCAGTAGAGTTACTTGATGCATCTTTCAGGTAACACTTTAGAAAGAACTCCAAATGACAGAATTTAAGCTTATGTTTTCCAAAAGAGAGGGTTCTGTGTCAGACGTCTCTGAAAGTTTTCATACCTAGAAAAATAAAAAAAAAAAAACCAACAGCTGCTGTATATAAAATTGTGTTTTTAAAAAAGGGTACAAATAATTTCGTCTGTGCAGAGAACATGACCAATTACATCTATTTTACACCAGGAAATCAGTAAATCCCAAATCCATTTGCATATGTAGAATATTCGCAGTTAGACTTAGTTATTTCACCAAGATGAATTTTGTTAAAGCAGTATCCCAGAGGAGACTCATTCAAGCTTAGTAAAATTTAACGTTAATTTAGATTGAATATAAGGAAAATTTTCTTTGCTGAAGAGGTTGTCAAGCACTGGAAGTGGTGGAGCCACCGTCCTTGGTGGTGTTTAAAATACATGTGGACATGTTTTATTGGCCCTGGGTTTGTGGTGCACTTGGCAGCAGGAGGTGAACAATTGGACTTCATCTTAAAGGTCTGTTCCAACCTAAACAAGTCCATGAATTATAAGTGGCTGTTTTATGCATAATGTTTTTTTGGGCTAGGAAATCATGAATGAATATATGAATCTGAGACTGGATGGTAATGTTCTAGTAAAATCAAATGAGGAAATGTAATTCTCTAACACATAATGCAAATGTGTTGTCCTAATTTCACTTTCCATACTCACAAAACCAAGCAAACCATAAACAAACAGCATCAGAATTCACTGTTGACACACAGTGAAGAAAGAGACAAAATATACAATTCCTGTGCCTTTCTACAAGAAAAAGAAAAAAAAAAGAAGCCTATAGGCTTTGAGCCACAAAAGTTAAACCCCACCTTTTAATCCTCACAAACCCAAAATGTAAGGAATCAAAAGGTGCTGCCAATGAAACCACAGAATGTTCTCCTATACCTCATAGTTCAGTAAAGGAAACCACAAAATGTTCTCCTATACCTCATAGTTCATAGCCTAGCTTAAATGAGAAAAGACTGAAGGGCTTTAAACCAATTCAGCCTCACCAAGCACAGACCATCAGAGACTCTACCCACATACAGTTCGTGGAGTTTGTAGTTACCTTCTAAACACAAGGCATCTGCATCAAATTACACTCCCAAACAATACATACGGCTCTCATCAACTGCTTGCATATTCACGAGATCCTACTAATGATAAAACTGTATTGAGATAGTCTCAAACACTGATTTTGAAAGGGCTTAGGTTAATACTGCAGAGGCTAAATAAATAAGGCCAAACTGATAGGAAAGACATTTTCAGATAACCTAAAGGATTGCCTGCAGTTCACAATTTATGTCCAGACTACACACACTATCCCCAGACAGTTATTAAACCAGTCCCTGGAAAACAACTCCCAGAGGGAATTGCATATTTACACTCAAGGATCTTGGTGACAGAACCAGGTCAACTAGTGACATGATTTCATCACCTCTCACATATTCTTAAGTAAGGCACCTATAGAGACTAAAACAAATAAGCATAAATTGACATGTATCAGTGTGCTCTGTCTTCCCACAACTCCAGAGCCTTTGCATTATCAGCAACACAGTGCAAATGCACATATGTCAAAGGCAATTTTTTAGAACCAAAAACGTTTCACTGGTTGCACAGCACTTTTCTAACAAAAAAAGCCCTGACAAATAAACATAAAAACAGTGGGCAGGACCTCTCTATACTAGAAATAAACAACAACAATTTTAAACACTTCTGCATCATCTCACTGAATAGCATGACAATCGTTCAGTGCTTAGAAATGATGGTCTAATGCCTAGAAAAAAAAAGAACATTTGTTACTAGAGATCACTGTCATTACCATTTCAGAACTACATTTGCAGGAATGAAAGCTTCAGAAGGATTTGGGGTCATCTGTGCCTGAGTAACAGCAAATGAGGAAGCAAAGTTATAGAAGTTATCCAACATCTTCTGAGTGAACTGGAAAAAAAAAAGAGAGATATTTTAAGAAGTTCTTTCTTCAATTGGAACTTTTGTTCAAAAGTTTAACAGATGTACAGCTACTACATGAAGTAATTTTAGCACTGACATCTAAAACACAGTGGCAAAGTGGATGTAGTAGGTCCAGAGACATCAAAACATTCTAAGCTTCAGTTTTGCCCTCAGATCCATCAGGCACCCAGAAATCATTTTAAGAATCTTCACTTACCCTCTCCCTGCTCAGTTTCATCCAACTGGACAAACAGCTTTAGGAAGAACATTTTCTGTTTATGACAAAAAAGTGATAGAGTGACAAGACCTGTCCCTCTCCTCCAAACTGAAAAATCAGAAGAACTCCAGACTGGGCCAAAGCTGCCATTCCAGCTCACAGAAAAACACTTGTTAAACCACTGGAAAAGTCTGTAATCTATTTACAGCTCATCAGACTCCAGAGACAGGGTAATTTCCTTTACCATTCCCCACAGAAGGGCTGCTGTCCTGGCACCTTTTACTACAAGATCTTGTGGGGAAAACACCTAAAGGATGCACAGGGCACTCCTAAACTGTAGGACTAGAAAAGAAGAGAGTGAAAGAGAGGCCAAGAAATAGCAAGCCCTGTGTGTAGAGGATGAGGCTGGAATGTATGACATTCCCAGCCAGTCTATAAATATACAAGTCTAAGTACTCCTTATTTCTTCTATTGAAAAAAAAAAAAAAAAAGAAAGAAAAAAGTTATGCTTTGTTTTGGTGGGAGAACAAGGAATTTTCATATAGAAAATTTCATAGACAGTGAAATGATACAGGAAAACAGAGCCTGAGTTAATAAATGCACAGTCTTGTGCTCCCCTCTGACAAAAGGAGCAGAAGAAATCATATCCCAGAATCCTGCCCTCAGTCTCATTTCACTTACATGCAGAACTCTATGGTTTTGTCCTACTTCTTTTTTATATATGTTTATATGCATAAAAAGACATATTCAATCATAAATCTTCATAAAAATTACTAAAAATGTAATAGGAGAGCAACTCCTTAACTTAGGGTACCAACAGATGATTTTGCTATTTAAAAAATACTTTTATTGCTATAACATAGCAGTTCCAAAGAGCTGATGTCAAATATTAAATGAAAGCCATTAGTTATTCACAAATATGCTCCCAGTCATATAGGCCCTTCCTCTGCAATTTACTCCCTCAAAGGTTTCCTTTCACTTTGACCTCACACATTTTCTCTGTAGGGAGTAAGTAATACCTCACCCTTTGGGTCAATTGCATTCCTTGAAGGCAATTACAATTTCAGTTAAGATGCTCAGAGTTAGGTGCTGCTCTTTTTTAACAGAAAAATTCACTGAACTGAAAATTACATTTGTAAAAATGTTATGCAATCATGAGGTGGGTTTTTTTTTCTTTCTTTTTTTTTTTTTTAATATTACTGCCAGAAAAATCCGTGAGCCATCTTGCAAATGACCTGATGTGGCACGTTATTCCTCATGACTTAAATACTGCTATAATAAAAATTGGTGAAATCAGAAATAATATTTATGTGTCCTTAGCCCCTAACAACTCTAGAAAAGTGCAATTAACTGTAGTTTACAAAAATAGCTGTTGGTCAACTCCTAGTCATGGTAACTTTCTGTGAGAAACATTACCTATTTGGAGCTACAATGTGTATAAACTGCCAAAGAACATCAGCTACAGTATCAGGATTACTGTACCATTACCAGTCTCCCTCAGCAAGCACCTGGAAGGAAAGTGAGAAGGTAAAAAAGGCCTGAAGAAAAGCCTCACCAACTGCTGAAATGTTAGAAGAAAATGCCAGAGCCATCAGTGTTAGGGAAATCAAGACCCACTATGCAGGTCTAGCTTGCCTTGGACTGCTGTCAGACTGCCAACTAACTGCCAGAGCTGGCTGAGGATTTCCAGAGCTTCAAACCAATGGACAGGCTGGGTTAAAAAATGGCACATATTTAGCCCAAGGCCTGATCCACAGTGAAGGCACTGGGGAAAACAAAAATCTTTCTGTGGGAAAGGGCATTGTTCTGTAGTTCTGCATAGCTACATCAGAAGGATTTCTCCAGGGAAAATGGTGCACCTTAATATCTCTCTGCATCCATGTCCACATTTGCATTAACTTGAAGTTTCAGCACCTACAAATCACCAAAGATCCATTCTCTCTTACATGTATTTAGTCACAGCTGCTCCTACAAGAAGTATCATAAATAATTTTAGAGTAGAGTGACACTGACACAAGTGAACCTCTTGGCCTTGTGTCACTGAGGATGCAAATTCCAGTCTTTTACAGGACACAGTTTTTCAGTGTAAGAAAAAGCAATTTCAAAGTATCAAAGCATCCAACAAAATGATTTGACTATTAGGTTGCTTACAATCCTACTGCCCCCCCCAACAGCATCCCCTACCCACTCCCCAATTAGTGCTTCAGAGGCTCAATTCTTGAGACTTCCATAGAAAGAGAATTTCTGAAAATGGAAAGTCCAGGCTACCTCTGTGAATGAATCTACTGATGACACAGCAGCACTTGCAACAGGAGTCTGCTGGGCCAGGTTCTCCAGCAGTTCCACTGAGATTCCAATCTGAGCCACTGTTGGTGTCTGTGGGAGGTTCATGGCACCAAAGGGATGTTGACTTCCCTTGCCTGAAAGCACCACGAACAGCACACGTTAGGTTTGGCACACACGTAAAGGCTGTGTAACTTCAACCACCGTGTTTCTCCTGTACAAGGCATTCCCCAGCTCCCACCAGAGGGATCTCCCTATCCCAGGAAATACAGAAAAACCACAGTCTGAGCACAGGCAAAAGTACACACAAGCACAACAGATGGAACAGTGTGATTGGTACATTTAAAAAGCACAACAGATCATAAGGAAATTTCTAAAAACCAGAAGAACATGACTTTACAGCTCCCTATGAAGTAAACAGATTCAGGAGGGAATACGATCAGTGAGTGAAAGACAGCAGAACATTTCTCTACAGGAACCTAGCTTTTAATTCACATTCGGGCCATTGCAGATAAACAAGAAATATGCAGCACTGCTGCAGTTGTTTGATTCACTCATTAAAGTCAGGTTATAGTAAACCTGCTCTGAGAAAGTAGAGAGCACTGGTTTATGATCCCTCTGACTCAGGGAGGGCTGGGCAGCCCCAGGTCTCGTCTGAACTGCTAAAACCCACCAAAGCAGCAAAGGTCAAGGAAATAGTCATGGAACAGAAAGGCCTCTGACTTTGCAAGTGCCACAAAGAAAAGAAGGAACCATCCCCAAACTGCATGCCATAAACACAGGCATCATCCCAGCCTTCTGCCCTCACTTCTGACCTTTTTCAACCCATACTTTTAGTCCCAGCTTCAGCCAAGGTCTCTGCAAACAAGGACAGACACTCAGAGTCACTTAAATCATGCACTCTTCTGTCAGCATTTCTAGGGGAAAATGCAGGGAAAAGGCCTGTGGGACCAGAGTGCAATCAGTAAGCAAACACTAGTGCTGCACCTGTGTTTGTGGGAACACAGTGGTCAAGTACCCTCTTAACACAGAGGCAATGTTTCTGCAGCACTCTCTGGCCTCTTACTAGCAGGAGAAAGCAGAGCTAATCAAGGGCTGTCCTGCAGACCAGTCAGTGCCATCCTAAGCTGCCAGAAAGGCTAACGGAGATCAAAAGCACCATCTCACTTAGTCAAAAACTCAGCCAGCAAAAACAGTCTGACAAGTTGAACTGAGATCAGGATCTCAGCCATTCCTCTGCAGAGACACAAGTCACAAAGAAGCAAACAGCCAACCCATACGGAAAGTACACTCGTAAATTCAGCACCCTTTTCAATTGAAGTGCTACTTCTTACTCCAGATCCTACAATTGCAATACAGTGCTACCTTATGTGTAAAGCATTCCTATTAAAATGTTACTTTAACACAAAGTCAGAAGAGAGTTCATCTCCTGAAATGCTACTAGAACCTCTTCTGAGAAACGCCATTTTATTGCTGTGTGATCTCACATTTGCTGTTGATAGGTGCTTGCTTGATACAAGCTATCAGAAACCAAGTAACAAGTTCATTATTCAAAAAATCCCAACAGCAACAGAGCTGGTACAAATTTTTCATCTTGTAAATCTCCATCTGGGAAACTGACATTTCAATAAAAATGTAACATCTTCAAGCAACAGGCTTTGTTACAATGTATGATTACTTTAGACAGTCATGATACAAACAATAAAACACAGCCATTCCATTCACTCTCCAAGGACTCCCACAGAACCACGGCCTTGGAAAGATGTCTGCCTAAAAGTGTGAAATAAAAGCATCCATTGCCATCCTCACACTAGGAGAAATACACTCCACGTTTTCCATGCTTGGCTCTTGCAATTAGCATTCCAAACCTTACAAATGCTGAGAATGTTAAACAGTACTGAAATACAAGCTCAGTTTTTTTTGTATTCAGACCCCACACTCTCCAACACATTACATCACTGCAGAGCAGTGCATCAGAAAAGTATTTTTCCACCCATTTCTTTCCCTTCATTGAACCCTTAATTCAATGACTGAGCCCTCATTACCCTTCAACCCAACCACAATAAAACCCTTACCCATGTGTAGGCCTCAAACGCAGACATCCTATTAGAGCATAAACAGCATCACAGCAGAAAAGTCTGTCATGGAGAAGGCTCTGCTCTAACTTTTATCCCACTTGTGAACCTACTCCCAGTAAGGGTGCAAAATACAAGTCCAAAGTTTGTTTTCTATTTCTACCACACCTTCAGGCACAACTGAAAACAAAAAAAACCCCTTTCAATTCCAAGGCAGGGAGCATTTCTAAGCCCCTTCTTTATGTGTGAAATGAAACTCTGCTACAACCACTGCTTCCCAGGGAGCTGACAGAGACACACCTTTGGTCCTCTCAACCAGGTATTAAACCCAAAATGCAGAGTTCAAGTATCAGAAATATCTCTCAGTGATTCCAGCTCTCTGTTACATAGTCTTCTCCACCTTAAAATTGTTTATGACCATGGAAACTTAGATTGTGTAGCTTAGACTGAGTCCACAGTCAGAGCTAAGCTGCAGACAATGGGAATGGCAGAGCTCTCTGCTGCTCAGATCAAGCACAGCACTGCCTCAAGGTGCTGCAAATGTGTTTAATTATGCCACTGAGCTCTTTCTTGAGAGCAGCCCTTACTGGGAAATTATGGCTAATCATGCAAAAAGCATCTGAAAATGTATTTTCCACCAAAGCTGTATGAGAGCACACACCAGTGAGTCTTTCAAGCATGAGAAATATACACCAAAAGCACTGGAGATATGCTTTACTGTTACACTAACCACACAGCTTTGGGATACACAAAACCACATCCCCTCGCACCCTTCCTGCAGCTGCTCCCTCTTCCGAAGAAAACCCAAGATTCTGAGGAATGTGTACAATCAGAATTCATTTTGCTCTGCAGCTTGAGAGCCCTTATCTCAACCATACTGTCACATCCAGGACTGACCCAAAAGAAAGCATGTCATGTTATGAATGAATACATTTTAGCAGAGCAACCTCACTGCTTAATTCAACAGAAATTCGAGTTAAAGATGTAAAGTACATCCAAGCCTACAAAAGATGTGCACTACTTTATCACTGTAACACTTTAAGCTGCTTGACTGATGTATCTGTCCCTTCCATACGACGGAGGTGTGTCATGGGAATGTCTCATCATTTTAATAATGCACACAGTACACCCCTCGTATTCAGGAAAACAAATGCACACAAAGACACACACAAACACTTTACTCAATGTACCAAAAGAATGAAAACATTTGGAAAGCTGCTTTCCAATGAGATCACCCTATATTGGACAATTCTATAGAGCAACTGCCCCTGGCTGGGTAGTGCCAGCTGTCAGAAATCACTGCCAGGCTCCACTCCCTGCAAAACCTGTCTGTGCTAAAAAAAAATACAACCACTTAGCAGAGGAAGCTGAAAGAAAATGCTGCTGGCATGTCTCGACAAACACCTAAAAACATGGCAGGGAAATTACAGGATCATTTTTCCTCTATGCAGAGGACAAAAGAGGACAAAAACACATCAGGTCTGCTTAGAAGAATTTCCAGATCAACACCACACACAAGAAAAGATGAGAGAGAAATTTCACAAAGAACAGTAACACATAGACAGATGTCCATGAAGATGACAGGCTGCTTCTAGTGCATCTGCTCAAAACTATCTGAAAACACAGAGTGTGTTGCCTTTTTAAGTAGCTTTTTGTTCAAAGCAACCTTCACACATTTATCCCTTATGCATTCAGGAACGCATCGATGCTATGTTCTACCAGTCTTACCAGATTTCAGACCAGAAATTTTGAAGATGGCACTTGGCTTCTCATTAGTGACAAACCCCAGCAGCTGCCACACTGCCATCCCACTCTGGTCTGGGTAACAAAAATAGACAGATCCTCCCATTCCATCTGGAAATGGTATAGTTCCCAGCATGAAGACCACTACATGGTTGATGTTTTCATAGTCTGGTAAATCAAATACAAATTTGTCTTCAGCCACTTGTTGGGGCGCAGCTTGTACCTAAAGAGAACAAAACCTTTATTAGTATTAACATGTATTTCATCTTCATCTGTCTGCGAATTTCCTTTTACAGAAATACACCTAAAGTGGTACATAACAAAAAGTGAGGAACGTACTAGCCTAAAGAGCAAATAGCCAGATAAAAGTCAAACACAGCAGAAGAACAACTGCAAAAAATATTACCAGAAAGACACAACAGTCTTGTTCTACCTGCACTGAACACATATCCCACCCGGGACTACAGGATCAGAATACCTTCGCTCCCCATGTGCGTAGGAGGAAAATAGGGTGCAGAAGAGGTTGCCAAGTCACTAAGAAGTGGCTGTTGACCACCTGGCTGGCACAACCCCAGGATCATGGAAACCTGTTCACATAGGAAATACAATAGACCTTGAGAAAGGCAGCAGAAGGATGGCTGAATGCCAGAGCAGAAGATACCCTCCTCTTTACCCGAGATGCCACATCCTTGCAGCCAAGGCACAATCTAGCCTTAAAAAGCTTCTTTTAAGCTCCCAGCTTGTCTCTGAGGAGACAACACTGCCAGGGGGATGCGCAAACGCCTCCCGGCAAGGACGCTCGACAAGGCAGCAGCCTGTGGGGACGCGGGGCAGGAGTCAGCCGAGCGCCGGGCAGGCGGGGCCCCTGCCTGGGCCCGGGGGGGCCAAGGCCCTGCGGCAGCTCCACCCCGCCCCCGAGCGGGTTGAGGGCCCCGCTCGGGCCCGGGCTGCGCTCACCAGCCTGCCCGCCACCAGGCAGCCGAACATGGCGGCGGCCGGCGAACCCCCTCAGACGCCTCGCTGCTCCCGAGCCTCCATGAGCGCCGTCCCCGGAAAATCAACACACCCCCGCTCACCCCGGCGCCGCCGAGTCACTTCCGCGGCGCCGCCGCCATGGACTACAACTCCCGCGGTGCAACGAGCGCCCGCGCACAGGCGATATGGGGTGTGGGGGCGGAGCATGACGGGAGATGTAGTTCTTCCGCGTCACCGCGCTGATGTGCGTGATGGGCGACAAGAGGTGACACCGCCCGTCGCTGTCCCGGGCCAGCCCCGCCGCTGGCCAGGGGCTGTGGGCAGGAGTGTTCTCAGCAAAATACCGCAGAGTCTTTTGCCCTTGTGTTTTAGCTAGGCTGAGTTGCCTTAGATCCGTGATCATGGCGTGTAGGCACGGGATGAAATCAGGCAACAGAGGAAGAAAATGAACAGGGAGATGAGGAGAAGCAGTTCATCCGGTAAATCTCCATAAATTATGACAGAAATTCCCCTCAGCTCAAGACACAAAGACTGTCCTGCGATCTGTGTTTGCAGGGCGGTTCTCTTACAAGTTAGTGCAGTGTAGGCTGCGCCCGTGTTCTTTGGCTGAGGGGAGCTGCTGCGCTTCATTGCTTGCGGTCTCCGGGCTGTCAGAGCACAGCTGGCTGGGCCACATGGAAACAAATCATTCCTTGCTTGGACTAAGAACAGTATTCTGCGCTTTCTGTAGAAGCCACTCCTTTAAATCTTGTTCTCACGTCTCATTTCGTGTTTACACAGGTATTTTAATTCATGCTTCAATCTTAATCATACCCATATTTATATTTCTGCCACAAATCTTTATGAAACCTCTCCCGTTTTACCATGCCAGTGTGCTGCTATGGACTGTGAAACCTGTGATTGACCCATCTCTGTAGGCAATGTCAGGGCCTTTCCTGCAGCCAGGATCACATTTGGTGGACAGCTCCTCCTGTCTTCAGCCCTCCCAGACCCTGGGCACTGCACCTGTGCCTTGTGGCAGAGGTTTGTCACTGGGGAAGCTCCCAGGGTGTTGCTTTTGTTGCTCGCTTTGTGGTAGTAAAGTTTTAGCAAAGCATTGTGCTGCCTTTCCAAATGCTAAAAACTTAAAATTAAGACCTCAGTGCCTGCTACCAGATGGGGTAACCAACCTGTCCCTTGCAGTGTGAAAATGTGAGGGAATTACGAGAGCAAGACCTATTAAAAATGCTGATGCTCACCCGTGATTATTTGTAGAGGCAGAATGCAATATGTGTTTCTGCCTGATTCACCTCTTGCATGTAGTAAGAAGCCCAGGTGTAAGAAGTATTGAGGCAATAGAGCAGAACTGCTTAGTCCCAGGCCTCATTTTGGATTTGGACATTTTCAAGTGAGTTCTCTGCTTGGCAGGTGCTTTTCCAGCTGGCCCCAATGAACTGGAAAGAAAGAAAGTGTTTTAAAGCTTGAGATATTGCAAATTAGCGAAGGGTGGCAAAGCTCTGCAGTGCAGCCACTGAGACACAACAAGAAATCTGTTAATTAGGCAAGAGCTCATCTCAGATTGCCAGCTTGCTGCAAACCTCTGAGACTACACCATGTCCAAAAGGCTCAGGGCAACCCCATTTTGCAGCCTGATCTCATCAGGGCTCTCGTGCACTCTGGTTTAGGCATGATTTTTATTTTTTTTTTAAATTTAATTATTTGATTATTTACTATTTATCTAATCTTGTGGAGCTTTCTGTGCAATGACAGCAGCAGAGCCATTTATGCTCCCCCCGCTAAAAGCTAATCTCAGCCTGTTTAGGAAGTTGCTCTAGAACTTGTGACACAGATGTTCACTTGCACCCCTATAAGATCCATGCCTTAATGCCATTTAGGTAAAAGAAGGTCATACGGAGCAGGCACATTCCCTCTGTGCAGTCAGGGAAGGTATTTCCTAGTCAGTAGTGACAGATAGTGGCATGACACAGAGAACAGTTATTTGTAGAGAACTTCTGAGAAGTTTCGGTTCTTGGGTGAGGCAAAGGTAGGAGTAAGAAGAAATCTCAGGCAAGTTGAGTCCAGATTGACACAAAACTTCACCAATATAGTGGTGGGTGATGTGCTAGAGTATGTGCTGGGATCCTACCTGAACACACAGACCAGAAGCATCTACATGTGTCTAACCATGAGTGCAGTAAGGTGTGGATCCTGGATGAGCAAGAAGTGTGGAAAGTAACTTTTTTACCTGAATAAAGAGTAATTTTCTTGTACTTCTTTTCACATTAGTCACAGTTACAAAAACAGGAAGAGCTTGTAAAATATTCATGTGGTAGGTTTGGGGTAGGTTTTGTTGTTCTCCTTTCTTCTTTCTCTGGACACCTTTTTCTCTTTGTCAGTGTATTTTTCTGCTGTTTTTCTAGTCTCCAGGCCATTAAGGATTTCATGAACTTAATTGCAGGTTTTCCAGCTTGAGGAGTTGTAGCCTATGTAGCCATTTATTGTGCAGAAGTTGTTCCATATTTTTTGATCATTCTTGTCATTTCTTGGTCCATTTCCCCCAGATTCCCTGCAGAAGAGCAGGCAGCCCTGCAGCCAGTTCCAGTTGCCAGCAGTCAGGAAGGCACTGGGCAGATCTGCCCACAGGTGCACGTCTCTCCCATTTTGGGAAGGTGTTGAGGCTCTCGTATTTGGCCATGTGAGATCAGGTGATACAAAAGAATGGGCTCTTGACCTGTTCTCCTGACCAATAAGCCTGGGGTGTTTCAAGAATAGTTTTCTCTGTGTAGCTGAGGAATATTAGGGCTCATGGAATCCTTAACAGCCTTGAGAGCACAGATGAGGCTGCTGTAGGGTGCCAAGAATAGGGCTGAGGGCATTTGGGATAGTGAAAATGTGTGACAGAAAGGACAGTATTATGTGATGGTGAAGAAGGAGCTGTCTTATGGGACAGAGGAGGAACAAGGCTAAATGGAGCATGGAGGAATGTGATGTCAAGTGGTTCAGAGACTCTAAGGCCATTTCAGAAAGAGATTTTAATTGTCTTTGTGCTGAGCAGTAGCCTGTATTTGTTGTGTAGCTGCTTTTGTCAGGGCTGTTGACCCATAAGTGTTAATCTTCTCCCTTTTGGAGTCAGTGAGCATTTTGTTTACAGAAATAGTGAATGGGAAAAAGTTACCAGATAAGTCTACAGAGGTTGGATATTTACTTGGAGACTGGAAAAAAGAGCCAAAGTGCCCAACTTAACTGCAGACTAGGTATGCTCTTTTGAGTATGTTCAAATAACTGCATAAAACAATCAAAATCTGGAGACAGTGAACACAGGTGCAATTGGTGGCACTGTTTTATATTAAAATATTTTAATTTGCATTATAATTTTCCACTATTAGGACCTTTGCCTACTTTCTTCTCCACTTTTCCAAACATTAACCATTAGGACTAAAGTTCTTTTCAGTAAGTACTTCCATTAGTTTATATTTTTATATACGTAAAAGTTTCAGCCAGAATGTTTCTGTTGTTTCCAGGACATGGGTCAAAAATGCATTGTTTTGCTCAAGGTAAAAAATTAAAATCTGAATGACCTGTTCTTTCAGAAGCCCTAATTCCCTCATTTTCTAAGAGCAGAGACTTGCAATTTGCTGGTAGGTAGTCTTGAGTCAGAAATGGTGCTGTGAAAATAAGGTCACCCGTATCTAGATATGAAATATTTGGAGAATCCCAGTTTGTACATGCTCAGGAGAAATTTATGTTGCACCACAGGTTCCATTCCTGCTGAACAAGTCTCACTGGGGCTGCAGAAGTTTGTCTGTAGCTGCCTCTAGGTTGAGCACCAAAGCAAGAAGAGAGTATTGAGCACTTCTTACCCAACCTAACAACCTGACAAAAGTACCTAAATTAAAATCAGTTTCCTTCTGTTCTTTCTAGGCAGTGGCTCCTCTAAGGCAGAAACTGTCCTTTGGAAGAGCAACTTTGTTGCCACTAATTAGAGAAGAGGTTTTGGCAGTTCAGCCATTTATCTGAGCAGCCTCAGTTACATGGGAATTTAAGTGGGAGGAATCCAGTCTCCCACTCACAGTGCTGGTGTTTAGGTATGGTAGGAGGTACAGGGGAGGAAAGGAGGAATAGTGAAGATGGGGGAAGGCATAAGGGCAATAGGTTGCAGCAGAGGTCAGGCAGGAGGAAGAATATAGTTTGCTTTTCAGTAAACTGTATTTTTTGAGATGATTTTTTGAGATTTGGGAAATAGTTTTAAAACCCTCTGGGCAACTGGAAGAGATGATGACTGGTTTGTTCGCAAAAAAAAGTGCCTGGCATATTGACCTTGCATGACCTGTTCTTTGCCAGTGGTGGAGAGGAAATTCGTGTCTCTACTGTGGATTTTATCTCACTTACCAGCAACCTTGAAGCCTCTGTTAGTGCTATCTGACAGCATCTGTCTATGGTTCTGTGAGAGCTTTAGCTATGACAGAATATTTGTAGAGTATGGAAGATCATGTAATCTGTTTCTCAGATGACTTTTTTGGGACTTGAGTTCCATGGATGTCTTACTAGTCTTGGCTTCATTTAAGGTATCTGAATATTTATGGAGAGAATTATTTTGTATATGCTGAGACTGAATTTACATTTTCTAAGTGAATGACGCTTTGTCACCAGCAGATGGTGATAAAATACCAGGGTTTGGCATTTTAAAAAACCACTCTTTGTGTCAGAAGTTGAGACTGGCTCTGGTTGTATCTCTGCTGAGAAACTGCTCTGTTCAGTTTAAACCCTAATGAGGATGAAACAGTTCATAACTATATAAATGCTATGTCATTAACTGGCAGGCAGTGAACGATACTTTCAGGATCAAAACTAGTAATGGAACAGATAAACCAAATAATCCCAAGGACCATCAGTCTCCCTATAGGCCACACACACAGGGAGTCCCCAAGACTTGGGGTACAAGCAAACCAACCTTTTTTTTTATGCTGTAGGCATTTGGAATTCAAAATCAACTTAACAGCAAAATATTTTTTGTAGACACAAATTCTGTTCACAATGTAAGGATTTTTTTGAAGACATTTCTATTTGGTTATGTGAAATCTCAGTAGAGACCTACCCTGTTTGAATATCTCTT